CCGGCGTCGCAAATTTTTTTTTTTACTTTTACATATATAAATATATATATGGAGAGAGGCGATGTCATCGAGTTTTTCTGCGACGTCGCCCCGCCTGGGGAGAAGAGAGGCAACGTCGCCGAAGCGACGTCACCGAAAAAGAATTTTTTTTACTTTATATACACACACACACATATATATATATATATATATGTATGTATATATATATATATATGTATGTATATATATATATATATATGTATATATATATATGTGTATATATATATACCTAGCTGTCACGGACTTAGTTGGAATTGCCTAAGTCATGAGGCACCCTTGCGGCAAAGTCGCGAACTTAGCTTGAGTTGCCTAAGTCGCAAAGCACCCTTGTGCCAACTTCTCGGACTGAGCTGGGGTTTGCCTAAGTCATGATGCGCCCTTGCGATATGTCAACTAATTTGCAACCTCACTCAGGTCCCGAAGGACCTGTAAAAGAGAAAGTTGATTAATTCGAAAACGAGCGACGAACAAGTCCCAACGTCTCGCGAAAAGGGAAGCTTTACAAGCAATTCAACGAGCACCTTCAGTGCAAGAAAGAAAAGAGAGGGAAGGAGAAAACAACAACTTTATAAGGTAGAACGAATAGTTGCAAATCCATAAACAACTGCTCACCGGGTGTCAAGCGCGAAAGCAAGTTCCCATCAAGTTAACATACGAACTTGTGAAGATTGTTCAACGCCTGACAATATACCAAAGCCCCATCCAACCCTGTGCCACCCGGGGGGTTCCAGGGTGCTGAGATGGCTGACGTTTCGTGTGCAGCTATGACGTGCAGAAAACGAGCCTTGGCACGTGAAAACAGAGCTATTTTGGGGCAGTTCGGCCCAGCGCGACATGCGGTCGCACTGCAGCGCTGTGAACTGTCGTTGCTTATATTTTACGAGCAAAAACACACAAAACCAAGGGAAAACATGCTACCATGTCTCTATACAAGCATGCAAAAGCGACGAACGGTTCGTTGAACGAAGTTCTTGCGGGTGCACGACGACCGTTCGTGACATTCTCCCCCACTTAAACTATCGATGCCCTCGTCGACGCTTGTTGGTAATTATTAATGACTACTTCTTCATGTCGTAGGGCGTCTTCGGGCTCCCAACTGGCTTCAGTTCGGGGAAGCTTTCGCCACTTCACCAAGTACTCGGTCTGCTTAGGTCTATTGGGTAGCTTTATCTTGCAATCCGCTAAAATGGTTTCAACTCGCTTCTCGTAGGAGGCTCTAGTGGGGTGTAGCCGAGTTGGAACATTTCAAGAAGCATCTTGCGTATCCGAGTGGTAGGCTTTCAAGTTGCTGGCATGAAAAACATTATGAATTTTGAGTCATGCCGACAGCTGCAACTTGTCGGAGACGTTGCCCACCCTATTGATAATTAGGAAGGTCCCTTCATACTTGGAGTGATGCTGGTTGAAGCTTCACCAACACCAAATCGCGGACATTGAACTCTTGTGGTCGCCTTGCCAAGTCTGCCCACTTCTTCATCTTTTTGGCCGCCTTCTCCAAGTAAGCTCGTGCAATATTTGCATTTCGGTACTATTCTTTTGCAAAGTGATATGCTTACGAACAACTCCCAGTATATCCGATAGCCAAGGTGTGAGGAGTCGACGGTTGTTGTCCTGTAATGATCTCGAAGGGACTCTTATTAGACGCAGAGATCCGCTACAAGTTATAGGAGAATTGGGCTATGTCCAATAGCTTCACCCAATCTCGTTGATTGGCACTCACGTAGTGCCGAAGATATTGCTCAAGGAGCGAGTTTATCCTTTCGGTTTAGCCATCCGTTTGGGAGTGGAGGCTTGTGGAGAAGTATAACTTAGACCCCAACAATTTGAATAGCTTGGTCCAGAAACGTCCTAGGAACCGAGCATCTCGATCACTAATGATATTATGCGGGACTCCCAATACTTCACCACATTCTTCATCATCAGCTTGTTCGCCTCCTCTGCTGAACAGTGTAGGGGTGCAACAATGAAAATTGCATACTTTGAAAATCGATCGACCACCATGAGTATCAATCCGAGTCCCCCTACTATCGGCAAGCTTGATATGAAGTCTAAGGAAATGCTCTCCCATGACCTTTCTAGTACAGGCAACGACTCCAAAAGTCCCACCGACTTCCGCTGCTCCACCTTGTCTTATTGGCAAGTGAGGTATGTTCGAACATATTCCTCTACATCAATCCCCATCTTCGACCAATAGAAGGCCCTCTCCACGAGAGCCAAGGTTCAGTGAATACCCGGATGTCCAACCCAAAGGAAACACTCAAGAGTTCATATCTCAAATTGTCCACTCGAGGAACATAAACCTTGTTTCATTTTGTGTAAATGAGTCCCTCCTGAACCCAAAATCATCGTGTCTTG